ATAGCTTGTTTTTTTTTTTATATGGGATCTTTCCCATTTTCTTAACCCACCCCTCCTTCCACCCATCAAGTTGTGCCACCAGTCACCCCTTCAATATGGTTTGAAACTCAACACCAAGAAACAAAGATTCTCATCAGTGGGCTGATTGGCAGCATCATAATAGATGGTAAAGAGATTGAGATTGTTGACAGCTTCAGTTTGCTTGGCTCTATAATCAACTCTCTTGGTACAAGCAGACAGGAAATTAAAACATGAATTGCATTGTGAAAGTCTGCTGTCAGAGACCTCTCCAAAGTACTGAAGAGCAATGTCAGCCTGGAGACCAAGGTGCACACAATACAGGCCGTGGTCTTTGCAGTTATTTTCTATGCATCAAAGAGCTGGACATTGACTAGGGATGATAGAAGGAGAATTGATGCATTTGAGCTGTGGTGCAGCAGAAGAGTATTGAATATACCATGGACTACTAAGAGAACAAACAAGTTTGTCCTAGAAAGGGTGAAGCCAGGCTGCTCCTTGGAGGCAAGGATTCTGAAGCTTCATCTGACATACTTTGGACAAGTTTCAGGGTGAGATCAGTCCTTGGAGAGAACCGTCATGCTTGGGAGAGTGAAGGGACAGTGCAGGAGAAGACCTTTTATGAGATGGATTGATACAGTAACTAGGGTAATAGGGATAGACATGTCGGTGACAATAAGATAGCACAGGATAGAGCAAGGTTTAGGTCTGTTGTACAAAGTGTTTCTATGAGTTGCAGGCGACTTGACAGCACATAACAACAACAACAACAATGATAACCCCCCAACCATCCTCACCCTTCTGCACTCCCTCCTCCCCCCATTAGATCCTCATAAACATTTTACTAGTTATCTGTTTCTACAATGATGGTCTTATATAGTATTTGTCCTTGTGGGACTGAGTTAGTTCGCTCAGCATAATGCTCTCCCGTCCCTCTCAATTTAGGTAGTGATTTACAAAATGATTGCTCTTGTATGCTGCATAGTATTCTTTTGTGTGAATGTACCATAAATTTTCAATCCACTCAATTATGGTTGGACATTTGGGCTGTTTCCATGTTGTGATGGTGAATAACACTGCTTGAGCATTGGTGTACAAGTCTCCATTTGTGCCTCAGTTCTCATTTTCTTGGGTCATATTCCAAGCAGCGGAATAGCTGGGTCATAGAGCTCTTTTGCAGGAGATTTCCCCAAGGCAAAACTCTACTCTCATGAGTGCTTCTTCCTGGGTATTGATTCTGAATTTAAGTGAAATGAAGTCCTTGACACTTTCAGTCTTTTCTCCGTTTAGCTTGATGTTGCATTTTGATCCAGTGGTGAGTTTTGTTTTCTTTATGTTGAGGTAGAGTCCATATTAATAGTCATAGTCTTTGGTATTCATCAGTAAATGCTTCAAATCCTTTTAAGCAAGGTTGGGTCATCTGCATGCTGTAGGTTGTTAATTAGGCTTCTCCAGTCCTGATGTCACATTCTTGTTCATATAATCCAGTTTCTCAGATTATCTGCTCAGATACAGATTGAATAAATAACGTGCAGTAACAAAACTCTGGCACACACATTTTTTATTTTCAGCCATGCAGGATCTCTTTGTTCTGGTTCAGCATAAGCACAATGAACTGTTCTGGAGTTCCATTGTTTAGTGTTATCCATAATTTGTTAGGATCCCCACAGTTGACTGCCTTTGCACAGGCAATTAAACACAGGTAAACATCTTCCTGGTAATCTGTGCTTTCAGCCAACATCCCTCTGATGTCAACATTGACATTTCTCATTCTGCATTTTTCTGAATCCGGTGTGAATTTCTCACAGTTCCCTGTAAATGGAGTTGTTCTGTACCATCGAGTTGTAACTGACACGTAACTGACCCTCCAGCAGGTTTTCAGAGGCAGTTAATTTCATGGGAGGAGATTGTCCATCCTTCTCCCATGGAGCAGCTGGTGGATTTGAACTGTGTTGCGTTTGGAATTCAGCTCCCTATAAATGTACGACTGTAACAAATTTTCAGTTATCTTCAGCGGAAGTTTACTTATGTGTGATATTAGTGGTACTGTGAAAATCTCTGTGTTCTCTTAGATTACCTTTTTTTGAAATGAGCAAATTGTGGATCTCTTCCAGTTAATTTGTTAGGTTGTTGTCTCGCAGATTTCTTGGCATAGACAAGTAAGCATGTCCAGCTTTCCATACATTTATTGAAGCATCTTAATGAATGAATATTCCGTCAACTACTAGACCATTGCTTTGCTCTGGTGCTTTCAGTACCTCTTGAACTTCTGTCCTTACCATCAATTCTTGATCATAAGCAATCTCTTAAAATACTTTTATGTTGGCTAATTCTTCTTGATAGAGTGGCTCTGCCTTTGCATGCTTCTTCTCAGGAGTTGGTCTTGGATAAATCTGTTTGAGGAAAACAAACAAACAAAAAAACAAACAAACCAGCCTCTCTATGGGAGCCCCTGGGTCTCAGGGGCTGTCCAGCATTCGTAATAAATTATATTTTGGGGGCTGTTTTAAAAAATAGAAAAATGGTTATTATAAAGGCAAGAAAGTAAGGGGAAAAAACCCAAATAAATGTTAAAAGAGTTCTCAAACTTGCTCTTCAGAGCAGAGAAGTCAAAATGAAGGGAAGAAAGGGTGGTCTAAGAGAGCTTCCCAGATGCCAATGGTATCTGAAAAAGACAAAGAAATGTATTAGAACAAAATGTGCGAAGAGCTGGAATTAGAAAAGAAAAGAACGTCCTTGGCATTTCTCAAGCTGAGAGAACTGGAGGAAAAACTCAAATGTGAACCTTTAGTTGTAATACTTTCAGTACTACAACTAATGTTAGGGATGAAATCTTGAATGATGCAGGAATGATTAGAAGAAGATGGGAGGAATACACAAGTCAGTGTACTTCCAATACTGGTCAACACTGAAACACTTTATGAAGTAGTGTATGGTTAAGAGCCAGTTGTAACAAAGGAAGATATTCAGGCCGTGCTGAAGGCATTGGCAGAAAAGAATGCCACAGGAATTTGATGGACTGCTGGTTGAAGAGTTTCAGTCTGGACATATTTACTAATCTATGCCAAGAAATTTGCAAGATAGCGACCTACCTGGCCAATTGATTGAAAGAGATCTTATTTATGCCTACTAAAACAAAAGGTGATCCAAAATGTGAAAAATTTTGAATAATACCATCTATATCCCATGAAAATAAGGCCATACTGAAATAAAAAATGGCTGGAGCAGTACATTGACAAGAAACTTCCAGAAATTAAAGCTGAATTCAGAAGAGGCAGTGGAACAAGGGATATCATTGCTGATGCCCGATGCATCTTGGCTGAAAGTGGAAAATAGAAGAAAAAATGATATCTTATGTTTTATTGACCATACAAACACATTCAACTGTATAGATCATAATACATTTTTAAATTATTAAACAGATAGTAGAAACACATTACAATGAGTATTGGGAAAGGCAATATTCAATAAGGGAATGATCAGCATATAAAGTAAGAGAAGACACAGAGAGGTATGGAAAGATTAGTGAAAATCAGAATCACAGGGAGGAAGAAGGAAAAGTGCAGTTACAAGTATTGAAATATTCTAGAACAAAATGTATATGAATGGTTGAACAAAGAGTTCGTTTGCTTTGTAAACCTGCCCTCAAAATACAATTATAAAAAATATTTACCCACTTACAAAAAATAGATGGTGTGCCATTTCCTTAAAGAGGATTGAGTTCTGGGATCATCAGGAGACTGTTGCTGCCCCATAAAGACAAGTACAAAGGAAGGAAGGGGAATAGGGCCTAAGAGACGGTGGGCAAAGGCCTGCAAAGTGACCAGGGCCATGAGGAGAGTGAGCTCGCTGTGGCACTTCCGGGACGAGCTGAGTTAGAATTAGACATCTGTGGCAGCCGCACTTGGGATGTTTGAGATTTTCACTGACAGAGCTCATGTACTTGAGGGTGAATGGCCGGTGATCTTCCTGGGATACCTGGCAAGGGAAGGCTCTGCAGCTGTGTGGAGGAAAGGCTCTGGACTTTGAGTGTGCCCCTGTCAGTGCTGAGGCCTGGGCCTACTGAGTGTGGATTTTAAGGTATTAGGGAGACTTTTCTGCACACAGGGCATTTTATGTTCCTGAACTAGCTGTGTGACCTTGCACGAGTCATTTAACCTCGCTGTCTTTGCTTCTTTACTAGAAAAATGGGAATTTTTATCTTCAGAATATTATGATTGGGATAAAATGAAATAAGAGTCTCCACAGGCTCTAACCTTGAAGTACTGCTGAGTGTGAGCTTTTGGGACAGATGCCCTGGATTCAAATTCGGGTTCTGTTTCTTAGTATCTGTGTGTACCAAGGGAGCTCTGGTGGCCTAGTGGTAAGAAGCTGCACTGCAGTCTCAAAGGCACACTGTTCAAATCTATCAGCTGCTCCTCAGGAGAAGAATGGGCAGTCTCTTCCTGAGTGATTAACTTCCTCTGAAAACTTGCTGGAGGGTCAGTTATATAGGCTGTTTCCTATATGAAACAACCTAATTTGATGGTACACAACAACGTGATCTTGGACAGACTCCTTGTCCCTCAGTATCCCAATTATACAATGGGTTTCATAATAGTACCTTCCTCCTCAGTTTTTATGAAAGTTTAATGAGGGAATCTGTAAACTACTGAGAAGCGTGTTGAGGTCAAAGTACGTTTTAAATGCCAGGTCCTATCCAGAGACAGGGTACTGAGATATATAAAGCTGGCTATGGCAGGGTGTGTGTGTGTGTGTGTGTGTGTGTGTGTGTGTGTGTGTGTGTGTGAAAAGAATTTTTTGTTTTATTAAAATTCAGCTGCTCTGACAATTGCATTATTAAGGATTTGCCATTTAACCCTTCAAGACATTGATGCCACATGAAATACTTTTTAAAGAATATATACCAAATGGATTTATAAAGTTAAAATAAAATTCTATCTTCCCAAAATGAAGTATTCCATTTTGTCCTTTCTTCACAGTTCCGGCTGGTAGTGAAGACAGCCTTGAAGCTACTGCTTGTCTTTGTGGAGTATTCGGAGTCGAATGCACCTCTTTTAATCGAGGCCGTCTCTGCTGTCGACACCAAAAGAGGTGAGTAATCCCTACTAGTTTTATTTCATCGGGATAAAACTGATGACTGGAAGAAGGATTTCACATTTTTTAATATTTGAGGCAGAGTTAAGTAGCTATTTTATTCCCCATAGAGTCCCTGATTTGCATGATGTTTATGCTCAGCCACTAACAGATACTGTACTGGGAAAATCTGCAGTTAGGGAACTCTCC